AACAAAACTGCGATTTTCAATGACTACTTATTTTTGTCCAGCTTTAATATCGGTATATCAGATCGTGCATCCCTACTGTAATAATTTTTTTCTCTATGAAAATGGTGTCATTCAATTTAACATACAGATTAGTAGTTTATTAATTGAATGCGGTGTTTCTTCTGCAGGTGAGGGGCGGAGCCTGTGCAACGGTCCCTCCGTGGTGGCGGAACACGACCGATGGACGGTGTACAGTTCAAAGGTCAACCTCCCCGCAGCGCTAAACGATCCCAGGCTGGCCAAACGAGAGTCGGACTTTTTCACCAAGACATGGGGGCTGGACTTCACAGAGACCGAAGTCATGCCTTCCTTCCACCTGCCCAACATCACCAGGGAACACTTCGGGCCATACTCGCAGGAAATGAGTCAGGTAACCTCTAGGCTATATTTTTAAGAGCTTAATTTTTCTCAGAAAGGAAAAATGTTCACATTTAAAGTAGGGGTGGGCGATATGGCGATTTAAGACCGTGTTACGATCGACACCTATGACGATCTGTCGTTATTAAGAGACCGTTTTATCAGGATCCACAGAACTGCAGTGCTGCTTTATTTCTACTAAAAAAACCTTCACAGCTAGAATATAACTAAACTAAAACGCCGACTGTGGCTTCAGCAGCAGCGAACAGTCCTTCTCCCGAAGCAGCAAACGTTAACAGATTCATTTAATGAAGGCAGTAAACGGTGGAACAGCGTGAAAGAAGCGGTGACGTTTCACTTGGTGAAAGATTTATGTCCTCTATGAACCGTAGAAGGAGTAGGATTTAATAAAATGTTAAACGTTTTGGATCCACGCTACGAGTTGCCCAGCCGCACTTATTTTTCAAACACCGCTATTCCACATATGTACGCTGACTGCAGAGAGAAAGTTTCACAAAATATTAAAAATGTGCAGTTCTTTGCACCCACAAGCGACCTCTGGTCCAGCAGCATTGAGCTTAACCACACATTTCATCAGCAACTGGGATCTATGTAATGCAACACTGCAGACAGCCTATTTTCCTGATCATATCATCATAGATTGGACAGATTACATCTTGACTTGCACTATATTTGCAGTTCCATAATAGTTTTTGTTTCTAAAGACTTTAGAAATTATACAAATCTATTGTTTAATGTAATATTTTTTTTTAAACTCAAGTTAGTTTCTGTGGGCTTTCTTTTATCTTCATTAGACCAGTCAAGATTTTAAAGTAATAAAACTGCACTAAGACACAGTTAGAATTTTTATTTATTTTGACTGTAGTTACTTGAAAAATGTAACTAATTTGTAATTGTTTTCCTCAGGAGTTATTACATTTTTATACTCTTTGGTGTGTTTACAATATAGACATAAAAAAAATAAGTTTGTTAGCACTGCTTTGATTCCTTAATTTTAATAAATTTGTTAATTTATTTAATCTTCTTTGCATGTAATTGAGGTTATGTTGGTCGTATCTAAAAAATCGTGATAACAGGGTTCCCGCTAAGGCCTATATTGGTATTAAAATGTCTTAAATTAGTCTTTCGTAGGTCTTAATTTTTTAAATCATAAATAGGATCATTTTTATTACAATTTACTTTGTAATCTAAATAAAACATTAAAATTGACAATTTTTTTTTTTTTTA